AAAAAAAAAAAAAAAAAAAAAAAAAAAAAAAAAAAAAAAAAAAACTTAGATGATATAATATTCTTTAGTATAATACCGTATGAGGATAGATCCAGGGAGGAAAACAGGACTGACCTTGGTAACGCCAACAGCTCGCACTTCAACGGATCGGCTACCTTGAACAACATCAACTGATGCATTAGAAATTGGACCTGTCCATAAATGCTGCAGCATATCCCTTGCTTGAAGCCTTCCAAACTCAACATCTACATCAGAAGATAGGACAAGACATTGAGGAAAAAGAGCTTAACCATTTATAATATTAGCATTTATAGGAGGCAGCGATTGGTCCGAATATCACATACCTGCATATTTATAGTTCCAAACAAGTGAAGTTTCGCGGAGTTCAAAATGGGAACGGGGAGTTCTTTCTGTGAAGTACTCAAAAACGTGCTGTAGAAAATACACACAAAATAAATAAATAAAAGTTGTGGATAATATTCCATTTCATCAATCGTTTAGATTTAAGCACACCTTCACACTGTCGACCCATTCCATATTCAAATGCTCAGGCATTGTAGTCATCCAGTCACCTCTTGTGAAGCGTAGAAACATCCCATTCTCAGCTGCCAACCACATATCATACTCCCCAAAGTTCTGCCAAAGCACTGGGTTAAAAAGTAGGTAGATAGGATAAAGCATTAACAGAAAAAAGCGTGAAGCTAGAAGTACATCATCCAACACTGTTCTATCGCTCCCACTGAGAATGACCACTGTCGTATTGGGGTCGTTGCAAATCGCCGTCAATGGTTCTTTCAAATCCGGGTGTAGTTTCAGATCCATTTCTCTAATCTGATCGCCTCTTCTTTCAGGAGTGTCCACTGGTTCAGTTAATGTTGAATTGAACCCCTGAATCAAGACCACAAGAGCAATGTTAAATCACAATAGATTAAAATGTTAGGAACCATGAACCTCCACAATGGTATACCACAATGGTATGATTGGTATGATTAAGGCCAGGTATGATATGGTATGATTAAGGCCAGAATTGCAGGCAAAGTTATTAGGAAGTAATTACAAAAGCTAAGCAATGATTTTTTCTCAAGTTAAATAAACTTCGCTTCCTTTCCTGCTCACTTTTTTATTTTAAATTTTTTTGGTTGGACGGGGGTGTGGCTCTTTCAGTCTCCAGGAACACAGTTTGGAATAACTTCGGGATGACATGAATAAAAATACTCATTAAAGCAAGCTTCTCATACATAAAATTCAAATAGTTTCTAAATAGACTTTATATCATTGTTCTCGGTAGGCGTATAGGATTAGAACTATAAAATATTCTTAAGATAACTTGTACTCCCCAACCAAACACGGCTTACCAATATAAGTAATCGATTAGTAGACTGCTCATAACATTTCATTGCATTGTCAATCGGAAGCGAATAGGATTAGGACTATGAAATATTCTTAGGCTTACCAGTATGAGTAATCGATTAGTAGATTGCTCATAACGTTTCATTGCATTGTCAAATGGAAGCGGGGGTGGACATTGTCTAATCCTCAGTTCAGCTTCAACTACTGTATCGTTAAGTTCACTGCAAAGAAATAACAATTTAGTTAGCATCATCCCATATTTAGTATTAGCATTAATTTATGATCTCTTTGTATAAGCCTCCACTCCTAGCCAACTTCCAGTAGAGAATCATCAAGCATCTTGAATTAGCCTTTCGAATTTACATTCAAGCATGACAGCTTGAGATGCAAAATTTTAGATTGAGGGAGAACTCGTGATTATGGCAAATAGCTTCTTTAGATACTACAATTTTATTATTATAAATGCCTACACAAATCAATAGATCATCATAAACCTGATTAAAGATTCTCAAGGGAAAAATAAATTATATTGAGGTCAGCATTTAACCTTTTGTGCACATATGTCCTACAACTTCAATCTTGAACATTAAGATAAAT